TAGTTTTATCCTAATGATGAAATAAAATTGTTAGTTTAAATTAAACTTAAAACATGAATGATAAAAAAAATATAATACAAAAAATTAAATGTATTAATTTTTTTTCTTCATATTTTTACGTTAACTATTTAAAAATATTACAACGCATCTTAACAAAATTTTTTATAAAAAAATCAAATAAAAAGAAAGAAAGCAAATTTATCACAGGCTTTCAGATAGGGAGTGTTGCTATTAATACATTCGGTCAAAGCGTGTTACTATAATTTTAATAAACCATAAACCATAAGGGGTATTACTGTAATAAGCCCTTAGATTGAAGGAATAAAAAGTTGATAAATTAAAATATTTATATTACATTAGAATTAGGGTGTCGAAATTTTTTACTGCATGTGTTTTTTAGACACTAATTTAATACAATTATCATTGAAATGGAGCATATTATAACAATTTTACAAGTTAAGGGGATAACTTGTCAAAATTAAAAATTTAAGAAGTAATTTACTAAGAGGTTGTTTGGTTGGGAGATTCGTCTCCTGATTCGAATTATGGTTCGTGGTTCGCTACAGTATTTTTTTTCACAAAAAATATACATAAATAAAAAATAATTCTAATCACATGATTCTAATTTATGAACCAAACATCTCCTAAATCACAATTAATTTAAGGGGTGAATGTGATAAAAATTCTTTTATTTTAATAGATAAAAAAATATTTTTTAATTTTTAAGGGCCCGTTCGTTTTCCAAATTTAAAATTTTAATTTAAATTAAAATATAATTTTTAATTATAATAAAAAAATTAAATGTGATATTTTTTAAACGTATTTAATTATAAAATTAAAAATTTAAATAAGTGAAATAAATTTAAAAAAAACCACTTTTAACAGAGGGAAAGTTGGTGAGTGAATGGTACTTTTTTGAATCCCATCAATGACTTTCCTAACTCCAACTCCATTCCTCGCACCATTGGATTCCATCTCTCTCCCATCTCTTTTTCTTACCGCTGGGGTATATTTCCCATTTTTTTTTCTGTTTGGGTAATTATTCTAAAAATATATTGTCCTTTCTACCTTGTGATTCGTGCTCTGAAAAACAGCTCAGTGCTCACGGGGGTGCACTGTTTGACTGTTGTTTTGTTTGGCTGGAATCATCTCATTCCTTACACGTGTACGCTGGATGATGCAACAGCTCGGTTCAATTATACACTCCTTGCGTCCTGTCCCCCCGTGCTGTGGACTGTGACGGAGCCCAAAGTCACCCGCATGTGAGGGAAATAACGGCGTCATGACGGAGAGCCGGATTTATTCACTGCCACTGGCGGCCCACACTTTGGTAATAACGAGGAAGCTTGACGACAGGAGGCGCCTTACGTTGGGAAGGAGAATTTCTGTTTACTCCAAACTATTTTTCTAAAGGACTAAACTACCCTTGAGCTTAACACTTTATTGTAATTAAAAAAATCCCATAGAATATAATCTCCCTTTTATTTTATTTTATTATGTATTACTGTTACATCATGTACTTTTTTGTCATGGAATTTTTGTGCTAATTTGGAGTTCAGATTACAAGTTTGATACGTCAAGGCTCTTATAAAAAAAATAAAATAAAAAAAAGGTGAATTAATTTGTAGTTATGTAAATTTTCAAATTATTGGTAGTATTCCACTAAAATATTTCAAAATATTGGTAGTCTTCCACTAGCTAATTTATACAGCTAACAAGCATTATTAGCAAAAAAAATAAATAAAAAAAAGGTACGCAAAGGCAAGCAAGTAAACAAAGAAGATTTTCGTATGCTTTAAGCCATAGAAAGTGCGAATTTTACAAGAAAGCAATATTCCGCTAAATATTATCAAATTATATATACATGTTAGTGGGCAAAACATGAAAGTAAAATATGTTATTATTCGTCTTTTGAAATATGTTATTATTCGTAGAGAAAAACCAGAAAAGTCATGCAATATTTTACTTTTTGCTTTTTGTTTTTTGTTTTGGCTAGCAATATCTTTAGTTTTTTTTTTCCCTCGCTATAGCTCCTAATTAATTATAATGTTACCAATTAACGTATGAGGAATTAGTCTCTCCGAAAGATTTGTAACATAGTTTATTCTACATTACATCCGAGAATAATAGGTAATATATTGTTTCATCTAACTGTCTTGTTTTGCACTAAATAATTGTTATAGTATTGTAACGTATATGTGGACGTTTAGTTTATAAATTCAGAATTATGACTCAAAATTATTCTCGATTTATATATATTTTTTGTGAGAAAAAATACTGTAACAAATTACAAATCATTACACAAATACACTAACTAAACGCACGATTATCACAAACAATGTATATGTCATTTATTTACATACATATGGACATTTCTGAGGTTTGGAAAGTCGTGCCTTTTTTCAGTCGTTGTATGGAATAAAAAAGTGTGGATTTGACCAATGTTGTGAATTTGTATGTGCGTGTATTGTTTAGTAAATGACCCATAAAGTCCAATATATCATAAAGAAGTGATGAAGATAATTATGTCCTAAATTTATAACAAAAAGTGATAAAGATAATGGGGAATAGAGATGGAACATAAGAATCTTTGTCTTAAAATAATATAAAACATGACCGTGGATGAGACTCCACGTTGATAAACGATTCTCTCAGTGATTGTATAAATTATGTCCACCACTTAAGTAATTATTTTTTTTTTTTTTTTTTTTTTTTTTTTTTTTTTTTTTTGTGTGGGAGTATTTTCTTCACTGGATTCCATTGTATGTATATATGTATACCAATTATAATGGTTAAAGCATACAAATATTATTTTAGGGAATAAATAACAAGTCCACTTATTCATACCAATCAAGACACTTTCACTCAAAACAAAAGAAGAAGAAGAAAAAAAAAATAAAAATAAAAAGATCAAGACCTTGGTATGATCTACTCAATGATATTATGTATGCATGACCACCTAAAAATACATATTTTCATTACAGCTTTAAGAGACCACCTTTATGCCGTATATAACTGTGTATATACACACTTTTGGGGGGCAATAATTGCACTCATTAATTTCTCGTTCAAAAAATTTGTATGAAACCGTTTTTTTTTTTTTTTTTTTTTTAAATAGCGATACATGACTCAACTTTTATCTTAATAATAATAATAACAAGCTATACTCATGAGTGAGACCAATGAATTATTTATACGTTCGATTGACCACTTTAGTAGGAATGCGATAAAAAAAAGGAGAAATTATCTTACTTTAAAAAAATAATAATAAACAATATTTTTTATGGAAAATAAAACATTATTTGAACATTTTACGACCTCCATTCATTTCACCGATTCAAATTTTATTACAGTAAAAAAATTCTTATAAATAATCATATTTAATTTTTTTATTATAATAAAAAATTTTAACATAAAGTCACATCTCAATTCAAATTAAATACTCAAATCGACAAATTAAACGAGACTTACAATCTTCTTACTCCTTAAATATATAGCAAATAGAAAGTACAAACGGCAAGTATGATATTAAGGCGAGGATGTCACAACTCACAAATAATTAAAAGTACGAAATAAGTCTCATTTATTACACATAGTAAAAAATAATTATTATCATTTTTTTTGGACGGATTACATTTTTAGCACGTTATAATGCATGGTAATAAATATATTGCTGTAACTACCGACTATTCCACAATAGTGCAAATATGCAGTAATAATAGAATAAATTTCCAATACGATTAATATTCACACATATATATATCTGGGAAAAAAAAAATGACTTGACCGTTGACCAAAACCCGATATTTATTTATAAAATTAATGAGGTGGGGGGTAAATTGGTAAAAATGAGTGAGGCTCATTTTGATTGGGAAGGGTAAAACGGTGAAATAAGGAAACATGATCCTCAACAAGTGGACAAAAACAAAAGTCTATTAACGGGAAAGCATATGCATCATGCATGCACATTGCACGTACAAATTTTTTTTTTTTTGGCTGAAAACGTACGAGTGTGATTATTAAAATATATTAATTACCCATTTCCATGCAAAAAAGAAAAACACTAATTACCTACTTTAAGGCAGAAAGAAAAACTCCCTACTTTCAAGCAAAACTTACAAATATATTTATTAATTTAATACTTTTTCAGGCGAAAGAATTCTAAGCACTTGTTTTTGCTGAAAAAATTTCTAATTACTTGTTTTGATGTAAAAAATGGCTAATTATTTACCTACTTTTAAGTAAAAAAAATTTAACTTACGACAAATTTTGAAAACAAAAAAGTACTAATTACTTATGTTCAACCAAATAAATACCAATGACCTGTTTTCAACTTTCAACTTAAAAGAATAGTTGGTATGAAAAAAAATGTTAAGAAAAGGAACTTCTACCAGAGGAATTTTCCATTTTCCCCATGGCTAGAGACTTTTCGTTTTATCCATTTCACTAATTTTTTGATGGTTAATATATATCAATGTTGAAAATTTGTAGCATGTGACACTAAATTATCTATAATTATTATATCAACCCATTAAATTTGTGTTTGGTTAATGTATTTATATCACAATTTAAATTTTTTTCATAAAAAATATATATAAATCAAAAATAATTTTAAATATATTAACCAAACATCTATTAAAAAATTAATTGAATACTAAAATAACAGTTTATGGGAAAAAAATTATTCTTGCCAGTTACCACATAAAATAAATACTTATCTTATTTCCATTATTCTTCTACTCATTGTTTCATGCCACTCTTCTCTT